CACACAAGCATGCCCAATTTTGCTCTTTGAGTTTGTCGTCCATACTAGTCTATTCCTTATTTATTTGTTAGTTTCTTGCATGTTGTTTTCATAAATACATGTACACAAACACCAAGGGCATGTGCTGTTAGGGCGCCATCTCTCACCAGTATTAATGAGGCTTGGTTATTTGGGGTTTATATGTATATGAATTACAACACATTAATCCTAAGGCAGCCTTCTGGCCATCTTCTCCAATGTGTTTCTTTGTGAAACTCAGTCAATTTAGACAATCACACGCCATTAAATGTTGTATATGAAATCAAACTTAGATCTTATTATCAAAGATACATTCATGATAACTGGCGAGTGCAAAAGTACAGAATACCTCTCACTAGCCTAGTGAAGGACACTAGGTATCCTAAAGGCCGAAACGGTACCAACGGTAGTTGGTACCGGTTATACATATATATATATATATATATATATATATATATATATATATATATATATATATATATATATATATATATATATATATATATATATATATATAATCGGTCACGAGTACTAAATACTGCCCGGAGCGCCCGGAGACGCCCAGGAGTGCCCGGGGACGCCCTGAAGCGCCCGGGAGCGTGTGAGAACGCCCGGGGATATATAAGATATAGTATAAATCAGTGCACGATCCTTTTTGAGTCTCTATGAGGCATTATATCAATGAACTTGGAATTCATTTCGGGTAAGTTGCTTTTTGGCCCTGGAATTTCTCAGAAGTAAACAAATTATCCTGGCTATGGAATTCTTCAGGTGTTGGGTATTTTCAATGAGATTTCATCAGGGGTCAAAGGCAAAAATTTAAATTCTATAGGTAAATGCTGAATTATTTTTAAAGTGGTAACTGCTATTAACAGGAAACCATCATGGGACATACTTTGTTACAGTAGGAATTTCTCAGGGGTACATATAGTAAAACCTTGAACTCGATAGGGGGGTTACCACCGGTACATGTTACTGTATATGGAATAGTCCTATCTATAAATAAAGAAAGTCATCTATAGTATGTTCAAAATACGACTTTGTAGTTTGTAAAATAAAAGTACTTACTTTTCGACGAAGCTACGATGATCGACATCTCATAATTATTATTATTATTATTATTATTATTTAATCTTATTTTACAACGGTAGGCCCTTCAGTGAATTACGACTGATTTTCAAGGGGCCGTTGCTAAATTAAGGCACAAAAACAAAATTTTACATCTATTACACACTATAAAAGAACTTCTAAAAAAGGTATAAAATGTTATAAAAGGTATTAGTATTACTCTATTTACAAGCTCGTTCTTCCATGTTATTGAGAATAGCCCTGAACTGACCAACTGATATTGCTCTATCTTTTGCGTGCTTCGGCAGATCATTCCAAAGCGCAGCACCTGAATAACTGAAGCTTTTTTTCAAATAATTCGTATTCGGCTTTGGAAGTGCAAAATCTAATTCGTTACTGCGAAGGTTATAGTTTTTATTGTTGCTAGTGTTAAACATGCTCGTCAGGCATTTGGGAAACTCATTATTTCTTATTTTAAACATAAATAATGCTCTTTTGTCTTTTCTTCGGTCTAGCAACGGTTGCCACCCTAAGTTTTTTAAAATCTCACTTGAACGAGTTTCATAGGATTTTCCAGTTATGACTCTTGCAGCCCTGTTCTGCAGTTTTTGTAATTTTTCTAGTAGATAATTACTGCAATTATCCCAGACAAGGCTACAATAGTCAAATGTGGCATTATCAGTGCACTATAGACAGTCCTTAAAGTTTCCTGGGGAACATAGGCTTTCATTCTCCTTAACATGCCAATTCCTCTAGAAACTTTGGTAGTTATTTCGTCAATTTGATTTTTCCATAGTAATTTTTCGTCGATGACAATACCTAATGTTTTTGCTTGTTTAACTCTTTTTATATCAATACCGTCAAGACTTATCTTCGGATCGTCATCAATTTTCGCTAACCGTTGCCGAGAGCTAATTATCATATACTCAGTTTTTTCTTTGTTAAGAGTCAATTTGTTGGTTAACAGCCACGTATGAATATTTTCTAAATCAGAATTTAACTGGTTTTGTATATCTTCTATGGACTTCCCATGCAGATGTTGTTAAATTTGTATCGTCAGCGAACATACTAGCTATTGAATGAGATAGGCAACTTGAGAGGTCATTTACGTAAAGTAAAAATAATAACGGCCCCAAAGTAGAGCCTTGTGGTACACCACAGCGAATAACACGTTCCTGAGATATAGTACGACCAATTTTGCACATCTGACGTCGATTTGTTAAGTACGATTTAAACCAGCAAAGAGTATTTTCACTGCACCCATACAACTTTAGTTTTCTAATTAGAATATCATGATTTACACAATCGAAAGCTTTTTTAAGGTCTAGGAAAATAACTCCATTTAAATATCCTTTGTCCATGTTAATAAACCACTTGTTAGTAGAATTTAAAAGCGATGTTTCTGTTGAGTTTTTCTTCCTAAAACCTGCCTGTTGTTGTGTGAGTATGCCTCTTGTTTCCAGAAATGTTGATAATTGGTTTGATATAAGTTTTTCAAAAACTTTAGCAACAACTGAAAGTACTGAAATTGGCCTATAGTTATTGCACTCTAATTTGCTTTCTGATTTAAAGATTGGTGATATAATTGCGACCTTAAAGTCGTCTGGAAAAACACCAGTCAACAGCGATTGGTTAAATATTTGATTTAAGCTAGAGGTTATCACACCGGCCGAGTCTTTCAAAAGTTTAGGTGATATTCTATCATAGCCCGTAGCTTTGGATGAGGATAATGCTGAAACTATACCAAAAACCTCGACCTCCGTTACATTCTGTAATTCGAATGTAGAGTCATTCTCAGGTTTAATATATGACTCGGGTGTCCTTGTACTTTCTGGTAATTTTTGAGCCAGAGTTGTTCCAATTTCATTGAAAAAGTTGTTAAATGTATTTACAATAACTTCTGGCTCCTCAATCACTTTATCATCAACAACGATCTTAGTTATATTTGTTGTCTTGGACTTTTTGTTTGTAATTTTATTAATTGTCTTCCACATTTCTTTTGGATTTTTAGCAGTATTATTAATTATGCTCGTAAAATATTCGGTTTTAGTCTTTTCAATCAATCTATTTAAATCATTTCGAGCTCTTTTGTAAGCATCATGTAAATTGGAAGATCCAGTTTTGACCGCTTTTTTCTTAAGAAAATCCCTGTGGTAGATATGTCTCTTAATATTTTCTGTAATCCAGGGCGCATACTCACTTCTTACTTTGCGAGTCATTTGAGGCGCATGCATATCAGAAATTAATAGAAACTTTGTTTTCCATTCCTGCCATAGTGAATTAGGATCAGGAGATTGGCTTGATTGCGTTTGAAATATCTTATGTAGGTCATAACAAAATGCATCTTTGCTATAATTTTTGAATTGCCGTGTACTTATGAGTTTTGGCTCCTTACGAGGAATTGAAATTTTCCGGCATATATAAATTAAGCTATGATCAGTAATTCCTAAATGCTCAACTCCTGATGCAATTACTATTTCCGGTCTATTGCTAAAAGCTAAATCAATAATGGTCCTGGTCGTTTGTGTTATTCGCGTGGGTTGCTTAATGAACTGTTCGAGTTGAAATAGATTTGCAAGATCAACTAATTTATTTGTTTGCGAGTTCAATTTATCCTTCTCCAGAGACCAATCACAGTTAAAATCACCAATAAGTATTATTTCGTTACCCTCTGAATCCATGTTTTTCACAAGTTCTTCGTAACTATTGAAGAGTTCAAGAGATGTATTTGGTGGTCTATACCATGTGTTTATTAGGAAAGGTTTTGCCTTTGGTTTACAAATTTCAACTGTGATCGTCTCTAGATTGTCCGTCATTAAATCATACCTAACTTTATAGTCTATTGAACTTCTTACATACATTGCTACTCCCCCACCATGCCTATTTCTGTCCTCTCGTATAATATCATACCCATTTATATCTATTTCATGGTCTGCTACAGTATTGTCTAGCATAGTTTCATTCAAGGTAATAATATCATATTTTTGGGAATATAAGTACAGCTTAAGTTGATCCATATTTTTTATTAAACTTCTGATATTCAGGTGAGCAATCTTGAATCCTCTCATTTGTTTGATATTTTTATTATCACTTCGAGTACTGGAATTTGGTCTCACCTCAACATTATTTGAATTATCGTGTTTTGAATGATTTAGTGAAATTTGATCTGGTCTACTGTATGTTAATGTTGGAAATCGACGTGCAGCTGGGAAAAGGATACAAATGCTGCGCATACGAAATTGATTTGGTTCATACACGTATTCATGCAAATTGCTTCAATCATAAGAATAGAAATATATTAATATTTGAACAGCGCCAACTGAGTGATTATAAAGCGTAAATGCTGGCGTTTTTTAAAAAGTAAAGAAATGCTGGTCAAACAGTTCTGCAGTTAAGCTATGCGTTGCAGGCTATAGTTATAGCAAGGTTCGCATTATTTCGATTTATTTCACATTAAATTTCATTATTTCCGGTGATTCCTTCGGAAAGTAAATGGAACAAGCATATTTTGACTGCCCAACTGGAACTTTTCCGGAATGAACGGTTTGTTTGAAAAGGTTGTCCTCTCTTACCGATTGGAACGTTTCAACCGGTAAATTTTGTACCATTTACATCTTGTTTATTTTTTCACCAGTTCCAGACTTTTCTCGATTTAACAATTGGAATTATTAAATATTCCAGTGCCTTCCGATCAGTCACTCTGAAGGGAAAGCGCATAATTCGAATGAAATTTTCTATCCGAAATTTTGCTTACCATTAGCAAAATTTCAAACCGGATGCGCTTCCATGTATATGGTAAACAACCCTAAAACGTCTGCCCAATTTAGCAGGGCGACAGCTTATGGGTCGACTCTTGGAGAATATAGTAGTTTGTGCTTACTTTATATTTGAATTTGGATTGCTTTGTGCACATAGTCGTGGATCACACTTTACAACTGTTGCCCATATCAATCTATCAAACTTTTTATTCAGTGAAATACACATCAAGCTACCATAGAGTATTTCGTTAGACGTATCTTCCTCTTCTTCCAGGCTGAATAACAAAATGAATAACAAAAACATATCGAATAATAAAGATAATATAAAATGATATACAAATAGACCAAATAATTAATTACAAATAATGAAATATATTATGGAACACAATAGAACAGGAAGTTGCAAATATACTGTATATTAGACAACAAAACATAATTCGTCGATGGTAATTCAGACACAATGAAGAAGGATACAAGCTAACTATTAGACTTGCCACAAGTCGGCCTCGAACGAAACGTGAGCAGCGAGCGACGAAGTCGCTCGCGCGAGGCCGACTTGTCATACTTGCAGCGCGTCAAATTTACTGACCCCAAAATGGGTCAGTAACGCTGATCTATATATATTGTGTATATTAATTTGTTGATGATCCCTTCAACCAATCAGAGAAGCGTGAAAGGGACATGTTGACGTATTTATAAACAGACTTCCGGAAACAAGGAAATTACGCAGTATTTCGTGTTCTGCCTTTCAACACTGTGTCTGTGCTTTCTGTGTTTGCAATTTTAATACAATTAGGCATTTTCTAAATGGAGAATTCGGTTTCAAAGGCGATTGAAAAGGCACAGCAGTTTTCTGGCTATTTAGAGTTCAACGGCAGACCATTCAAGCCTATCTATCTGCCAGAGATGAGTTCGTTTCGGCACAGACAGGATATGGGAAAAGCTTAACCTTTGAGTTAGCTCCGCATGCTTTCGAGTACTTGTCGGAAAATAACAAGTCGTTCGTTCTCGTCGTCGTTCCGTTGGTCTCGCTTATGAAAGACCAAGTTGGCAATTTGGTCAGACCAAGTTAGCAGTTTGGTCAATTTAGTTCCTATATTGGGGACGACTGCTTCGCAAAGCGAAGTGACAAATATGAAATATGACGCACATGCGATTAGATAAATCAGCCCCCTGTTAATTGATAGCCAATAACTTATTCACATTTTTTAGCGCGAAATGCAATTGAAAACCCTGCTAGTATGACAAGTCGACCTCGCGCGAGCGACTTTGCGCTCGCTGCTAGCGTTTCGTTCAAGGTCAACTTGTGGCAAGTCTAGCTAATTATAAACGACAGCAAAACCAAGTTCCAAACAATAATGCAACCATGCAGACAAGCTAGCAACAAAAGCTAGCAACAAAATAGTAAACAAAACAACGAAAAAACAGCCAACCCAAAAATTGACCACATAAACAAACCATCATTGCATCATTTCTCGTTCATATTTCCAATTGATGCTGCCGTTTTACATCTTGTACATAATGTAGTCCTTATAGAATCGTCAAGGCATCGATTTTTATTTCTATCAATCACTTGTGCTTAGCAAATGGTATTAAATTTGCCGTATGTATGTATTTTCCTGTCTGATTTCAACTTGATAATACTCCGCATGTGTCATATCGTTCGCTAAACTAACACAGCTTTGTTACGCGATTGACGTCATTGCATAATAATTACCGAAACCACGTGCACCTCCACATTTCTTACCAATGAGTCCAGCACAACATAATAATAACTCACACCTCGTCCTCGCTCTTCACCCTTACGATTACTTATCCTAAACATGCCCGGTCTTGTCACGAGTCTATCATGACGTCAATGCATACATAATCGGTGACATCATGCCTACATAATAAGTCGTCCAACTTATCACCTCATATTCCACTCCTCACCATTATGAAAGTAATCAACTGCTCTCCTCTCGTCCAGTGCAAAAAGGACTCGAAAACTACCTACTATACTACCACGGTCTCTTCATTTTAGCATTATATCATAAATTGAGAAAATTGTCAAATTGCTAATTGAGAAAAACTCTGCCAATTGAGAAACTTGTCAAATTTAAAATTAAAAAATGTTGAAAGTCGATACCAAATGCATGGCATATAATACTCATTAGTGTTAAGCACGTGTTAAAATGAAAAAAAAATCTCTTCCTAATGTGTAAATTATAAACTACATCAATTTTGCCTACTTTTGCCTACTGACTTAAATCCAAAAATAGCTTTAAATACGTACAAATATGAACATACGAGAACATATGAATGAGTACCTGTTCTCCTTTTCATAGTAGTCCATACAGTTCAACAAAAGAAAGATTTGTGTGTTACCGCCAGTAATTCTGTGCAATGTAATCCTTGCAAACGAATAAATTACAATAAATCAGTAGCTTATAGCGGATACATTCTGTTGGGTATGATAAATATTGTCAACATGCATATTTGTGTGACTGTTATTGGCTTGGGAAAGTTCAACGAATTTTTCTGGCAAATACAGATAACATCTTGGTTGCAACCATTTTTATCAAAATTAAATTGACTAAAGTATTTACATTTCTGATTTTATTTAATGTTTAATACTGTAAAGAAGAGACTGGGATCATGGTTAACTTTCAGACAGTTTGTGGTCATTGTTCATCGCTAATTGTCAACTTGCTGCAGTCGCTGCTATCGAAAATTGTATTGATGTCACAAAGGATTGGATCGGCTACGTGATAGTTAGAAAGTTAATCATGGCAAAACAGATGGTAAAATAATACTTGAAAGTCAACTTTAGTTCCTTGCAAATTAGCGATACCTCCATAAATTTAACAGATAAGTCAAATAACTTGGGATTCAAGTTTGACTCTCAAATGAAGTTTGAAACTAATATAAGCAAGTGTTCCACAATACATTCGTCACTTCGTTGGTGATAAGCAGTGAACTCTATTTAGACTGGAACGATAACTGACTGTAATTTGTGTTAACCGCGCCTAGAAAAACAATATAAAGGGACTGGCACTGTACGTCAATTCAGCTTCATATTGGCTTCAAAGATGGCGGCCAAGTTATCGTTCCAGTCTAAATAGAGTTCACTGGTGATAAGTCGGTTGAACTGTTGCAATAGCCTTCATAATTATATAGTAGTTACTCGCACTTTTGTTATTAAATTTGTTTGCTACTGGGAACTTGATCCAGTAATTAGATTTTGTAACATAAATTATTCTGCTATTCACTTAATATAGTTGTTCCTCGGCTCATTATTTTACTTGTAAAAACCAACGAACACATAAACTTCGCAATCTTTTCATTTAATTAAACTTGACTTACAATTTGTCATCAGTCCACTATATTATTTATATAAATATTTATAATATAGCATTTGTAAATTCTGAACGCTGATTGGCTAAGAGCCGTGTTGATATAGAACGAAACCCCATGCTTTGCCGTATATACTCGTTCTCCCAGAGGGAGAAACGAGTATATACGAAAGATGAAACTCTATTCATAAAACTCTAATGATATTGGCTGTGGTGTCTTCGATGCATTGCTGTCTGTTAGCAGCGTCTCTTTCACGAGCATGTTCGTTTTCATCGACGACAAATAGATTTTTTCTTCATGATTTTGCAGCTAATAATTTTGTGCCTTTAGAGAATTCAATTTTCTTTAGCCGACTTCCGTATATTATTTTATTTTGAAATTTGAAAACATAAAGCAATCTATATTACTTCAATTTGACATGTAAATTTGCAAACGTAAACAATCTGTGTGATTGGCCAATTTTGACAACTGTTCTGAAAGTAGGGTACGTGTAGCCCACATGAGGCTAAGTGGGTGGAAATGGCAAAACAGTAGATCTCGTGCAGGCTGTCCTTTCCCTGATAGCCGCTACTCTGGCTATGTTAATTGATATAACTCAGTGTCAAAAAATTTCTTTCTTTATATTTCTTTGTGCTATATTTGCGCTCGGGCGTCGTGTTTCAAAACAATTTTTCGTTTTCCCAATTCCCACTCGTTTTATATAACTGTATATCAACACGGAATTTTTTTTATATTTGTTAAATATAACTTACTGATTGAATATCATTAATTACCTGTACATTTTCATTTTTTGAGCCTCGCATATCTGATTCTCGCGAAAATTCTGAATGCCATCACATAAATTTCTGAAACACTCTTCGCGAAGTAATCGGTAATTAATATCCAAATATTCCTCCTTGGACGTGTAGGGTGTTTTGCGTTTTATGGGTTCGAGAGATTTTAGATCAAATGCTAAAAAATAAACGAAATAATACAACATTGTATCGACCGGTGTTTGGATATGAGAGAACTGCCGAAAGAAATTACATACTAATTTAAAACAAAATTTGCTCATGCAGTTTTCTCTTTAAGTATAGTGACTAAATATAGACTTTTAATAAACGTAATATCAAACACTTGATCGGAAAGTTGTTTAATCCAGGTATACAAAAACGTGCAATTATATAAAAAATTATAAAACGAAAGAGAAAAACGTAACTCGCTCTGCTAACATCCGAACAAAAAGAAACAAACTTTGTGAAAGTACATGTAGATCGAAAACGTTTTCATCATGCAGCAAACACAATCAAATGCAAAGAAATATAAAAAATAAGTTTAAAAATAGAACAAAGAAAGGAATGTTATGTTTTGACGTCCCTATTTCAACTACGAATACTTCACGGGCCCACTGATCGAAATTTATAATTCGATCGATAGCGTATACGTGGAGCGGTAAGTACTTCATGTTAAATCCACAAAACAGTTTGAGCAAATTGTAAGGTATGTGTGATCATAAAAGTTGGTCATAACCCTAACACTATAACCGTAGTTTTAACACCATCTGACATTGTACTCACCGGCCAAGATTTCCTTTTCCGTTGGAATAGTAGGAAGTTCGTTCCATTTACAATTAGTTGTGTCGACATCTTGAAATCCTGACACTTTCCTTGCCAATACCTTTCCAAGGTCCGCCAAATATTTCACACCTTGACATTTGGAGTTGTCTTCGATGGCGTTGGCTAAATGTTCAGCCACGTTCCATATTTGTGTTGCTGTTTGAGTGGAAAACTGCATCATTAATTCCAGGAGTGATTTCAATCTCTCGCTATCGTCTCTGGTAAAATAGAGATCATCAATATCAACCAATTTTAAAACAAATCTTCACAAAAAAGCGCCTCAAAACATTATTTAAACAAATAACAGTCACAACTATTTGCGGTTTATTAACAGTCACAATTTACTGGTTTACTTGGTTAAAGCAATCTGAAATGGAATTCTTACATTAAAGAAATTACACGTAAAAATACAGAAGATTATGTCATCTCATGGAATTGAAATTTACTGCATTAAAATACGACCTCTGCATGCTTGAGTATGGACCCTGCTGCACCAATCTGGGATGGTCTACTTCTCTAGGCTACATAGTGAACTATTTGGAGCGTATTCAAGGGGCAAGCCAACGCACTACTGGAAAGAAGATAGAAATTAACACTTCAAAAAATAGATACAATAATCCGTTTTATGATCTTGCTCCTGTTGCACCTAAACATGATTATGTTAAATCTAAAAACAACAGTGCCAGTGTAAGTAAAATAACATCCAGAATTGAAAGACATCATCGGGCAAGCCTCAACAGAACTTTTAGTATTTGTATACTATACAGTACATCGATTTGTAAGTCCACTGTACTTTTCAACCTCGTTAATATCTTCATAAGGCTTATGCTCCATTCACGCCAATTCTCGACTTCGTCCAATATGTATAACAAATAGGCATTTTAAACACTTCAGCGAATCAATTCATATATACAAGATGCCTCACTGAACAGATCTGGCTTAACCGTAACTTTAATCTCCAAACATATTAGCAAGTAAAAGTTTGTAAACACTAACTTTCTTGCACCAATAGCTGGGTACCACCTACCTGTTCAATTCACTGGCATTATTTCGAACGAACTGCGGCAATACGTCGATGAAAAACAAGGAGGATGTAAGACCTTCCAGAAACCGTTCACAATATTTTTCACTTTTTTTGGACAACTTCGTTGACAACAGGAAAGACAATTCTATAACATCTTTTACACATTGAATATTATCCTTTAATAGCTCCTCGTCATTTTTTATATGGTCCCAAATCCCTTGATTTCTGAAAAAAATACAACTAATACATAAGTATTATAAATAAATATAAATATTTAAAATAAATTTCAAACCAAAGTTGTAGCCCTGAGGACACATTAAATATATTCCCCGAGCCAAATGCGTATGCTCCGGACGAGGTTACTAATTCCGCTTGGCTATTTTCACCATGCAGAAAAGGAAAGCATTAGCGAAGTCTAAAGTTCATCAATAATAGCGAGGCCGCGTGGCTGTGTTTCATCGTGGTATCT